TATACATCTTTTCAAGAGTTCTCGCCTGGTAATGAATAATAGAAAAAAACGCTACTACTACCGGTTGCAGCTATGTCTGTCCTTCATAGATTCCAGATACAGAGTCTTGAGGATTCTAATCTGGAAAACAGGAAACATGTGCTCTCCAACTAACCAACCAACTAATATACTTACATACCTATCTACCTACGGACATAAATACGTACATACATACATACATACATACATACATACATACATACATACATACATACATACATACATACATACATACATACATACATACATACATACATACATACATACATACATACATACATACACATACATACATACATACATACATACATACATACATACATACATACATACATACATACATTCAGGCATACATACATTCAGGCATACATAGATCCATGCCCACCTTATTACCTAGCTACATACTCACCTCTTTTATAAACTACGCATTGAGAATTTTCAGACGTTGTTTTGTTTCGTTAGTACTAGACGTATAACAATGACTGAAAGTATCGCGGTCCGGTTACAGCCAACCATGTTTGGACACGTAGCGGTTGTCTATCGCGCATATATTTCTCATTGGAGTGCAATACAACGACCAGTGGTGAAGTCGCAAACAAAGACCATATAGCTACGCTATTTGTTCAATTTTCGATAAGCATTTATAAACGCTCGCGAATTAGGAATGGACTTTTTAGATGTTTAAACCATACACATACAATATTTTACGCGGCACTCACTTAAATACAATCATGTTTCTGATGAATAAGAAAATTTACATGAGTGAAGAATACTTTGCAAATTTCACACCTGATTTTGACCACATGGTGTACCGTCTGCTACCATAGAAGGGTCTCTGATGCCTGTCAAGTATCTATCAAATGTTCCATGTACACATGTCCCCTGGAACTCTTCAGTCCCGGTCCGGTCTGATGTAGAGGTCACGCTTGTCGTGAACAATTTCACAAGCGGGCCCCAGTCGAACCGATCCCGGAAACTTGCAGAATAAATTGCGTCCTCCTTTAGGGGGTTGTGACAATGAAGAAGACCACATTTTTCATCACTGAAATGTTCGAAAATTACGGATTGGGGGAAGTACGAATAAGAATCTGTAGTTAGTGCGAGAAAACAAGCGGCAGAACAATTCAAATAAGGTATTGAAAATAGCCGAATGGAAGCCAGGTAAAAACAGCTCAGGTAGGAGTCTTTCGCACAAACTCAGGGGCAGTAAAATACACGTAACAAACAAAAAACAGAGCCCCGATTTAAAACTGACTTGAAAGGTCAATGAGCGCAGAGATTTATTGGCAAGCTGACAACAACACGTCTCATTTGATCATAACTCCCCGAAGCGCGAAGGATAATTATTGGAACGGTTCGACGACATAGTCTGTAGTTACAACTTTGGACACTCGCTCAGGGAGGTCTTGTACCTTTTTGACCGTGATGACGAACCACCAATCGCATTCATTTCGGCACTCGAAACGTACTACTCATAAATGTGAGTAGTAACACACAACAGCAGGAGTTCATCCGGACTGTGCGTAAATAGAGCCCATGAACACGAACTGGCAATAAACATCCACTAAAGCAATTCTGTGTACTAGTGATCAAACATGAGGAGTTTTAGATTCAGTTTCTATGTCCCTCAACCACGTACGTTTCGGGTGCCGGTTATGGCTGCCTAATTAAATGGGAATACTCGGATGTTGAAAGTAGTATTAGGGCGCAAACAGCGAATTCAAGAAGAATAAGCTTGCTAGGAACAATGAGTAATGAACGAGCGCCATTGTTCATAACACTCGATCAGTGCAATGTCGTTGGCGTACTTCAGATTTTTTGATTTTTTAATTACACACCTAAGTGTGATGAACAGCAGACTGGGCGAACCCGATGGCCACGAGGGCCTGCTGTTTATTGGTGGAAACCAGCAACCTAAGCCCCGGGACTTGGAGTGGCGAACCACATAAAGTTCTGTTAGATTAGTTGTGGTATTGAACCTGACGACTGCATAGCTTCCTACCACAGGGTCCAAAGCACACCGGTGAGAGCGACTAAACCACTGCGCCATCACAGTCTGCTACCTGTAAGCAAATAAATACCGCTATCCTTGCACGAGTTGAAGTTGTTCCAAGAATCATAATGGAAGATAGAACAACGGTGCGACTGCAGCTATATAGCGTTCAGTGATCACTGTAACACTGAAAATTATGCGCTATGACGTGGACGTTCCTGAATCTGTGAGCATCACTCTTGAGCAAGCTCTGTAGAGAGTCCCTGTGCAGTTTGCCCATCTCCCCTCTACCTTCAAAATAACAGATGAGCACTTTCAACATTATCAAGGTTTTATCATGTCAATCACTCACCCGGTCGAGCACGCGATGTACTTGTACGTGGCCTCAGTTTCGGGCGAGCCAAAAGACACGTTATAAGCACAAAACCCTCCTGAACTGCTTCCTTCGCGATTCTGCAGGAAACAGAACTCCGAGGCAGCCACCCAGTGATCACCAAACAGATGAGCACATTGGCGATTCAGACTGGCACATTGGCCTCGAATGCAAACACCCTGAATGGGAAACAATGGGATTCCGGAACGGATATCAGGAATCGAAAGAGCAATGCGTTTTCATATGTATTCGTATTTGATTTTGCTTTTCTATATCAGTTACATCACCTCGCTTTTAAGTTCACATGTGCGCGTAGGAAAACCACATTCTGGACTGAAATGGTTGCACACGATGATGAAGAAGGTGGACATAATTGTGTTCCAACTATTTATCAGTTTAGAGCTCCAAGCCAATTTGTTCGGTTATAGAAAAGAATGAATGATTCGACAATGATTGTTGACGATGCAGGACAGTCAAATCTCATTAAGGTTACCGTCTCTCTGTTTCAGTAGAATGGTGACAAGACGTGCGATTTCGCTTTTCGTGAACCTAAACTGTAAATCAATAACTTTTACGTTTTTTAAATATTCAACACAGTTTTTTAGGCTCTATGGTGTCACTTTATAGCCGAGAGTGCCTTCTTCATGCGTTAATTATAAGATTGCGCTTTTGCGTTATCTACGGCTGTTAACACTCCACGCATTATGTGCCCCTTCATTTCCTCCATCCTCCCCTTAAACGTAGCTACTGTCTTCGAAACCCAGAAACGATCCTCCGGAAGCGTTGTTCCCATCTGCTTTGTGTTCTGACGTTTCATGGTTAATCAGATCGGAATGCTCCGCAGCAGTGACTGCACACACCAGCGGATGATTACATAATTGATTAATGGGATTGCCAATTGCGGCTGCTATAGAAATTTTCATAATCGCTGTTAACTTCAGTTTCCTACGGTCCCCTGGTCTCCAACTCCTCACAAACAATGGCATGCAGCAGTTTTATGTAGACCTGATGTGTCTCTTGGGGAGTATAGGGGCTCAATGCTGTCTCCAATTCATTCGGTGGACTAACTTTCAGCTAATAAATTAGTCTTTGATACTGTTCGCGACAGGGAATGGTGAAAGAAGCAAAGGTGTACATTAGCGGGGCAGTGACACTGGGTATCCTCTGTAGCATGGGGTGTAGTAAGTAATCAATTCAAAGATTTATTATGGAGATAACTTACAAGCTCATGCTTTTCTAGTCCCATAGGCGCGTGTTATGGTTAAAAGACAGTGATACATACGATTCCTTGTGTAAAATGTCACATGATACGGGATTCTTCCACTGCTGCTTCACTTATGTTGGAATATGCCGATGTCTCATCGAGTCTCAGTTTGAAAGATTCAATGCTTGGTGCACAGACGACATAGGATAGGAGAGAGTTCCAGATCGAACACATTCTGACTGAGAATGACTGAGGCCGGCACTCCAAGCGGAATTCTGAGACCACTAGTTTGGATGGATGTTCTCTAAGATGAACGTTGGGTGATAAATGCAGAATCTGGCGACACGGATGGCTTAGGTTTTGCAGTATTTGATATACCATAATCATATCACCTCTGATGTGCCGGTAATGATTGAAATATAACTCTAGCGACTTCAGTCTCCCTGCTTATGAATAACGATTCAACACCCTAACCAATTTGGTGATCATCCTTCGTGGACGCTCCAGCATTTTGCAATCACATAGCCATGGATTCCATACCTGGATGGCCTACTCCGTTAGTGGGTGGATATATGCTGATAGAAGACGGGGGAAAAGCGCTGACTCAAACCGGCAAAAGACCAGCTTAAGCAAGCCGACATTCTATAAAGCGGCGTTCACCTCGGCGCGGTTGAGTGAGCAGCTTAAGTTTTCTTGAATGATGATGCCCCGGTCCTTCTCACTTGCGTCGTGTGGCGGTTGTCAATTTCCGAGGAATTACGAAAATCGTTCCCCGCGTCGTAGAGATAGAACCTTGCACTTTGGCACATTGAATTCAATACCGTTCATAAGAGACCAGAGATGAGCTGCTTTCAGCTTTTCCTGGAGTGCCTTTGAGCCCGCTGGTTTCGTCACTGTATTCCAAAGTTTGGTGTCATTTGCAAACAGTAATGATCTTGACCCCATGGTCTTCGGTAGGTCGTTTATGAATGTTGGGAAGAATCGCGGCTCGAGCGCAGATCCTAGTGGAACCCCAGGGGTAACGTCCATAGGACTGGAAAGAGAATCAAAAACACGAATCGATACGGTTCGATGTGGGAAGAATGCTTCGATCCAATCAAGCATGAGGCCCCAAACACCGTGATTATAGTTTCCGCAGCAGAATTTTGTGTTTACCCTATCGAACGCTTTTGAGCAGTCTAGATAAATAACGTCTACCGCGTCGCCGTCATCATCCGCCTTTGTCCATTCTTCTCTTGCGATCTGAAAATTGGTAGCACAGGATCGCTTCAGTCGGGATCAGTATTCATTCGGTGACCGAACGTGGTGCTTCTGTAGGTGTTCCATCAAGAAAACTGCTACTATGGACTTCATAACTTTGAACAACACTGGAAGGAGGGTTACAGAGCGGTAGTTAGCGGGATGATTACGGCAATCGCCTTTGTAAATGGATGAATGCACTCCCTGATTCCAGTACGGTGGGTTTGCAGTGTGATCGAACATCTTGTGGAGTACTAAGGCTAGTGTCTCGGATATTTGACTTGCCAAGCAGATAAGGGTTTAGGGGTAAATATTGTCTGCACCTGGCAATGAATGCTTCCTCAAAGCCAATAGCTTTGCATTAACCTTTTCGGTGTGGAATATGATACATTCCACGAGGGAGGTACATTCCATCATTATTCGCTGCAGCAAACAATGGTTCTTCAGTACTATTTACAACACCAAACAAGAGATCATTTCGACTTCCTGAAAAGCAACCAGTTTCGTTCATATCTGGAGGGTGAGGAGTGTATTTACCTAATGCGGTGTCAACGTGATCAATGAGTGTCTTCCGAAAGCTGGTCCATAATGTGTATACACATTTTATGGATTGATTCAAGCTGAGCTGCATCAGTGGTTTTGGAATATGACCGCATGGGAATAAACTGGTCTTATATAAGGTTTACTGTATGCCATGTTCATTTTGACAGAAAGCCTTTTATTTTTTTTACGATCGGCGAGTGTTTGTTTATTTTATTTCATGCTGTCGTTTGGGGTAAGTTCCATCGTTAGCGGTCCACCCCTCTAGTTTGTCTAATAACAATATTATGCCACACAGATACAGAACCAATTGCAGATTTCCTGTATACCGCAGAAGTATTTATCGGAATTCAACAGTACCTAAAGTCACCTTAAGTTCGATTTTGCGAGGTTGTCTCCTGCTGCTGAATATGTCAACTCCGTTGGTATGATGTGCGAGATTCTCGGAGATGAGAAAACAAGCGGCGCCGTTACCAGTTTCCAGCCCTAACATTCCACGTTGTTGTTCCAGCCCTCGCACATCCAAGTAACATCTGTGAGACCACGAGTGAGTTCCAGACGATCCAACGGTTACTAGACTTTTTGACCCAAGTCAACTTGAAAACCTTTTCCAGAAGAGGAAACGAAACAAGTGGTGGTTGGGGTCAGATCAATGGCTCGTTATAATCTCTACACTTCAGAATACCACCGTTAGACTCGTGGCATGTTAGAGGTGACACTTGTTAAGCTGAACACGACTGTGTCCTTAAACATCGTGTGTATTCGTTTAACCAGTGAGCTTGAGCTGGTCTGGCTCACGGAGTAAACACGGGGAAAGTGACCGTTCTGTAATCTGTGATCGGGAAACACAACAGAGCAAGTATAACCCTGATTCCCACATAATACGTTCGAATTACTTTATGTTTTGCTTGTATTTACTTGCGGCGCAACAGAGATACGATCGATCGAAGCATACCAAATTGCGTATGCCCCTAAGACAAGGTTTAATCCCACGTTTTACGAGAAAATGGGCATATGTGAACATAATAAATGCTCTCGTGTTTCATCACTATGAACTTCAACAATGATGATGCTGCCAGACAAATGCCAATTAAATCAAGCCGTGGTTCATATTTGACCGTGATATTTACGTTCCGAATTGCACCTCATCATTCAAAATTCAAACAATCGCAGGTTTGACAAGAGTACATTATTGATCATTCAGTCCTGCTCTTACCTGATTATTATCACAAGGTGATCCGTTTGGTTTTGTCTCATTTTTTCTACGGCCTCGGTTCGTTCGGTTGCTTCGCTGGCTGAACCGGGGTAATACACAATCCGTATCGTACCAGCCAGCTCTTGTGAGTAGCTCAATTTCGTCCTTCTCTGGTTCGCGTGGATCAGCTGGAATAGAGTACGGCCTATTGGAACAACTAGAGTAATCTCGTAGTTCACACGTCTCACTGTTGCAGCATTGGGCTCCCCATTCATCCTAAAACCAGGTAGTATGAGGGTGCAAGTAGTGAGTTCTACTGTAATTGATGCAAGTGAAATGGATGAGTAAAAGCCCTCCTGAAAATCTGAAATGTACCGAAATCGGCATTTGCTCACAAACATAGACGAACTGAAAACAAAGCTGATTGAGGCAGTAGATGGGAAAACAAATTATCTTTTTACCAAATTAGACATAAATCTAAATTACGTGATGACCATGAGGTGGTAGAAATAATGAAACAGGAAATTATTATTAACAGCTCATTTTCAGTGTCACGTGATATACCGTATGTGATGCTCAGTAAGACAGGGACACAGCGGTAAGTGGTTCTACATAGCATCTGATTGTTGATAGTGGTCGAGGTGGTGGAAGTGGTTTTAGTGACGGTAGTGGAGCGGTTTATTTTAACGTCACTTTTTATATTACACACTTTCGTGTGATGAACAGTAGACGGGCCAACCCCATAGTCACGAGGACCTGCTGTTTAATGGTGGAAATCAGCAACCTAAGCCCCGGGACTTGGAGTGGCGAACCACAAAAAACCACGCTAGATTTGGCGTGGAATTGATCAGAACGATAGCGAAGCTGCCTACTACCAACGTAGGGTGGCAGTGGTCGGGCTCGAACCGGGAATATAGGGTTCAAAGCACGCCTGTGACAGCAACTAAATCACTGCGCTGTCACTGGTTTGTTCGCGGTAGTAAATTGCTTTGTATCCATTCGGTTTAATAACACATTGAACCTATTGGGGCCTCCTCGAATTCGCTCAAATTAACAGTGTTCATGGTCGAGCACCAGGTTTCCGTGACTACGAAGTTTACTTCTTTACCGTTTGTCCCAATAAACCGTGCAGTAAGAAAACGTGCATCTCAGGCTAAAATAAAAGTAAAAATGTTTCTGATAAATTCATAGGTGTATCAACAAAAGCTTTCCTGTCACTGTTTATCGCGACAGTTGTGGAAAATATGTTTTCTTAGAATGATTACTAACAGCGATTTTTAGAACTTATCCACCTCTCAAATAATCGTTCTCTGCTGTGCGGTTAACCGGTGACATACATACCGTTATCTACCATAAGCAACCGTGGAATGCTTAAACCTTGAATACGGGGATATTTTGTGCAGTAACTCATCGCGTTTCAATTATACATTCCGGAGTCAATAGAGAAAAACTGGCAGAGAGGAGCCATATATCAACATGTTCAAAGCTCACTCAAAATTGTACTATCCCAAGCGATGAAGTAAATGACATAACACTCATGTAGTGCAATACATGTGCATAAAAAATGCATTACCTCATTATCACACTCCTCACCGTCCTCTAGAATCCGATTGCCACAGATGGCACGTGACGTAAAGGTGTACATGATCATAGGTCGAAAACAGCCGGGAAAAGTATCACGCATCAAGTTGGTTTGAAGTAGGCCAAGAGAGCAGTTGGACCAATGGACCGCTTGAGGTCTAAATTGAAAAAAAAACGATTCGTTTGGGAATTAGCCATCAACTAAGTGAATGAGTGTGGTGTACGCGATGGAACGACAAAGATACGCAGTCGATTGTGTATGCGATCTGCTGAAGGTCTAGTACGATGATGTGTGAGAAAGTGAGAAGAGATAAAACAGTAGTGCCTTAGGCCCTAAATCGGCTATAGATTGCCTCTTTGTTCAGGCCTATTGCCAGGGATCAGTTCATATAACTCTAAATGACAGTTATACCTATTGAGAAGAAATTATTGACAACTTAGAGTATGTATCTTGGATTAGTCCATTTGATTATTCAGAGGCACCAGACACTCTTGACGGTCTTGGGTATGGGCTTCACTCCTCTTGGGAGATAGCTACTTCTCCACGAGGTGAATGAATTGAACTAAGACGGAAATTTTTGTGATGACCGGTGATTACAAACATTTCTATCGCGTTTGTTGACTGCTTGTTTTGAATATGAAGTTTGTAGTGCAATGAGTGTTTAAACGAGCAATAAACTCATTTTATCAATACAAGTTGTCCCAGTATTGCAACCGCATACATATCAGTCCACTGGTAGCTACCCCGGTCGGAAGTGCAAATTTATGATGAAGGATCTTTCATCCATGCGCACTTCACACGTCTGTCGTTGCAAAACATTATCACAATCAGAGGGTTTTCACAAGGGAACGTTGTGCAACTTGCAGATGAAATGGAACTAAACTCGGTTCCAGTCTGTGGCCTTTGTTCGATGATGGAGAATCACGAATTTATTCATGAAAAAATAAATACCATGCACACTGGTGGCGAACACCCAAACTTTCACCACCAGTAACTTTGCATGGCTTGTAATTAACTAATCACCTAACTGAACGGTTACGGCTGACGAACTGCATCCACTTTCCATCACTCACCGCAATTTACTTTAATAAAGTGAATCCTTTTTGAGACACAGAAGCACGCTGAAGATTAGTAACATTATTCGGGTGTTTTATCAACATCTGTTCCAACAACCGGAGGAGTAATGCTGAGGTTAGGCGTAGAGTTTTAGGTAATCGCGGTGGCCCACTGATGCAAGTCGTCGACCTCCATAGATTGCGCTGGTTAGGACATGTGTTACGCATGTCACCATATAGGCTGCTACGGTGAGCGATGTTTGCCGACGCAGGTAGCGGTTGGAAAAAGGTCTAGGTTGGTCAAATGAAGACCTGGCATGAGGGTATGAATACCCTAACCAGGAGACTCGGTCACATAGGTCCCGTTAGGCTCCCTGGCTGGGGACCTCGAGATCATGGTCACCGATGGTTAGAGACACAGCGATATGGCTGGATTTCGCCAAGAGTGGCGCTCATGCATTTACTCGTTATTCTTGCAAAGTCGGTCTATATGAATTCGCTATTTTTCGTTTGAATTTGTTTTCAACATTATAATCTTCATTCTGTTGCTTTACCCAAATTGGCAACCTAAAGATAGCAATGAACACCGACGCACGAAAGTGCATGGTAAGTGGTTGTAAGAACTGAACTGAACTGAAAGTCAGGAAAAACTTCAAGATGAAGATTTGTCTCGTTAGTATTCTTTTTTCAGGATCGAGCGAACATTTAGGAAAAGCTCAATCACAGTACAGTTCTGCTGTTTGAACTGTCACAAGTAAACCAATCTG